CCTCCTCCTCCTCCTCCTCCTCCTCCTCCTCCCCCCCCCCCGGGGACCAAGAGTCCTAGAGCGAGCGTGCGCCAGCCGAGGTGGGCAACGGAGGCCGTGCTGGCGAATCTCCACAACACGCCCCACGGGAGAGGCTCGCCCAGGAGGACGTCCCAGCCTGGCCATCCCGGGGCTGCAACATTGGAGGGAACGGTGCAAAGATGGGCAGATGCAACCGGGAGGATGGAAGGAGGTCGGGAGGCAGGGACAACACACATAATTTATGTATACTGAGTCGGAGTAGGAGTAGGAGGAGGGACAGGGGCGTGGCAGGGGCGTTGGGTCAGTCAGGGAGGAGTGAACAAGTACCTCACCAAGCATCTTCTGCTCATCTGCTCCCGCAACTGCTCCTGAACCTGTAACTACTCCCGTTCCCCCTCCGCCTTGCACAACTCCTGCCGCTCCCGCTCCTCACACTTATCCTGCCCCTGCTGCTGCTCCTCACCCTTCTCCCTGTGTCCTCCTCCTCCCTCTCCTCCCCTCTTCCTCTGCTTCCTTCGCCTCAGCGCAGGCGCACTGCTTGGCTTGGCATCGTTTTCTGCTTGGCTGGCTTGGCTCCTCCATCTTCGACGTGTGCTCCCGCCTCAGCGCCGACAACACTTCTGGCCCAGGATCGAACTCCCGTCTCGCCTCGGCGATGCACCAACTCGGATGTTTCGTGCTGTTCTGTGCGAAAACTTTACTCCCCGAACGACTACGGATGGCTATCCTAATAAGGCCACGATTCTCATCCTCCAGCCAGACGGCGCGCTCCTCGCCATTCTGCTTACCAGCAACACCCCATGCGCTCAATCTCAATCCTGCTAACTCCCCTCCCTGCCGTCGGCGACCGCGTCCCTGTGGCCGCTGCAGTACACCAAGAACCCAAGGCAACATAAGTATCCGAGCCCCACCAGACACGTTTGGCACTGCGGGCCCGTCGGAACCAGCGCGATGTACGCTGTGCCCGCCAACGTTGCTGCCCGCAATAACAGCAGGATCTTGCGATCCTGGTCCACCTATATGGGGGAGCGGCGCTAGAAGACGCAAGAACACCTCGCACCCCTTCTCTTGCGTCGAACTGGAATGCTCACCTTCCCCGTGCACCCGCCAGAAGCGCACACGCTGAGGGGGCAACTAAGCTGGAGTACCGAGGGGGAGATACGAGCCATTTTTTCGAACTCTGCTCTCCCGATCTCGCGAACGATGAACACCTCATACGCCCACATCCATGCCCTCGCGGTCTGGTAACCGAGGCGCGATCGAATGGACAAGCGATCCCATGGATGAATTCCACGTGTTTGGGCAACTAAGCTGGAGTACCGAGGGGGAGATACGAGCCAACCTCTCACTCTGCTCTCCCGATCTCGCGAACGATGGACACCTCATGCACCCACATCCGTGCCCTGTAACCGAGGCGCGATCGAATGGACAAGCGATCCCATGTGTGAGTTCCGCGTGTTGGGGCAACTAAGCTGGAGTACCGAGGGGGAGATACGAGCCAACCTCTCACTCTGCTCTCCCGATCCCGCGAACGATGAACACTTCATACCAGAGGGTTCCAAAGGGCTTTTTTTTGGAGGGGGTTTTCCAGGAGGGGTGCCCCAGGGGCTTCGAACCCCCTATTTTGACGAGGTTCCGAGGCCCCTGGGGGGCTCTCTGGAAAACCCCCTCCCCCCAACCCCCCTTTGGAACCCTCCGGTCATACACCCGAATCCATGCCCTGGCGGTCTGGTAACCGAGGCGCGATCGAACGGATCAGCGATCCCGTGGATGAGCTCCGCGTGGGGCCTCCGCACACCTCCGCCCCGCATCCACGGGGCCGCGGCCCAGGAGAGCCTCGACCGCGCGGCCGCGGACATGTAGATGTGCGCTGTCCGCCCACGCTGCCCCTGCTGCTCTCTACATTTAGGTCGGGCATGTCCTCCTGCAGGGGGCTTTCGGACGAAACATAAACACAATAGTCAAACAGTATTTCAATAGACTCCAAATACTCAGCAGGTCGTCCCCAAACCGTTTTTGGACTCTTTCTGAATGCTCCCGACTGTTTTCCCAATGCTCAACAGATCGTCCCCAGACTGTTTTTTGACTACTTTTGACTATTCCCCCTGTGGAGGGACTGGGGATAGCACAAGGTACCGATACCGCTACTCCCCGGACCTCTCCCGGGGTGCGTTCTGACCAGGGTCTCGAGGCGCATCCAGCGGTGGCGACGAGGGCCTCCGAGGAGGCCCGACAAGGGGGAAAACGAGGGGGAGGGTGGAGGTATGGGTACCTTATCCTCCTCTACGGGACAAGTCCGACTCAACTCTGCATGCGCTCGGAGCTGGCCACCGTGCGCCGCCACCAGCCGGCTCCGGGCGCAGCACGCCTCGCGGCCCCTCTCTCGGCGCCCTCCCCGGGGGCGCGTCGCTCGCCCCAGGGGCCTGCCCGACGCCCGGAGGCCGCGGGGGCCACGAGCCGCCCGCAGGGGAGCCCTCGCCCCCGCGCGAGGGCCACGCCGCGGGTCCACGGGCCACCGCAGCGCCGCCGAGTCGAACGAAGGACCCCGTGCACGCATCCCCGGCGCTGCTGAAGGAAGCAACCGCTCCCATGGCCCGTGGCATCCTGTGGCCTCCGTAGCCCCGTGGCCCTCATGAGTCATTCCAAACATCATGGAATGCAGAAGAGACTACTTATCTAACTATCTTACGTAACAAACATGTGTGCACTTGTAAAACGCAAGCCCGTCTGTTTCTTCGGAAGGTAGTCGGTCCAAAAGGGCATACATCCGAAATGCTTACAAACTGGTTTCTGCATGTCCGATTCCCGCTAGAAGCATGTTTTTGATGCGACGGCCAGATGCACTCTTGATTGTAGCCTGCACCGCCCAGGCATTCGGATGCTAGCGGACGGCTGGGCCCCATACCATATCGACTTTCTCTCTAGACCATTGTGCCGTCCCGTGGGTCTCAAACTTCGCCTTGTTACGACTGTTGTCGGGCGTGTTGAACTCATTTGCTATCCAGACACAATTATCCAAAGTGTATCCGTGGTCGTTGCGCAGCCTTTCTAACGACAAACGCCAATCAGAATGTGGAGTCGAGTACTCTAGCGGGACATTGGAATAATGACACCTTCCACGTTGAAGTAGCAATTTATCCAGAAGGCCGTCGAGAGACAACGCGTACGCCTGGCAACGTTTTCTGGACGCTTGCCTAGCATTGCCCATGATGGTCAGCATGGTGCCACGCAACGTGCATCGCCAAGCCATAGCCCGCTTCTGCTTGCAAGCTTTGCATGGCTGGCGAATTCTGGTGGAACTCTCAGGTCGACGGTAGAACAAATCAGCAGGTTTGTACGAGAGGCATGTGGAACATATGAACTCACCATAGGAATTTGGCAACCTTGGGATGCGAGACATGATTCGAAAACCACCTTGACGATCACTTACGCGTGCATGCTGGACGGCCATGCCTAGAGTCTCGAGGTCAATTGCTTTCTCACGCAGGAGCGGGATTTGTTGGATTTTATGCTTTGACCACTGTGCTGTCCCATAGACACGTGATTGCACGCCTCTGCAACGGCTGTGGTCTGACGTGTTGAACTCAGCGGCGACAAGGACGCAATTTGCAGAAGTGTACCCCACCATATTGTCAAGACGTTCCAACGACCCTCTCCAATGAGAGTTCGGCTGCATGTAGTTAAGGTGCATTCCCGAGTAGAAGCAACGTCCCTTCTGCTCAAACAGTTTCGTCAACAACTCATCGAGAGTAAGGGTGTGACAGAGATTACGCCGATGTGCTCGGAATTTGGATGAACACAGCAAGGTTGTTGCGTACCCTCTTAATGTACAACGGTATTCGTACGCTGCTAAAGAATCGCAATCTTTACACGTGCTCTTTGGTAGAACAGACAGTGAAGACTGCATACTGAACGACCTATGGGCCTTATACTCCCCACAACGGCTGCACCGCCACTCACCAAGTTCATTGGGCTTCCGTCTGGGCCTGGGACCTGTGTGCCCTCTACCTCCCGAAGCGCTCGGATATCGGGCCCGTCGAACTGCTTCATTCATGCCGCACGGTTTGTCCTCTTGAATGCCAGCTGCTGGCAAATACCGCTCAGGATACGAACACAATGATCTTCGCCAATATCTCGCAACAATGCCGCGAGAGAGTAATGGGGAGAACGTTGACGAAACCATGGCCACTGAAATCTCCAGGTCGGAGGTGTACGCTACAAGCACGCAAGCTCTCCTGAACTTTACCTCAACATACGTTCGTGCGATAGTGCGTTCCACTTGCAGATGCAGCGCGCAGTACACAAGAAGACGTTGGACTGCTCGCGGTCGCACAACGATGCACGTCCCCCGACAAACAACATTGAACCACCACGCACTTGAACCAGCACGGCTACGGGATTTCTTCTGGAAGCCTAAGGGAATAGAGGTTCCGCGATGCAACTCACCACTCAAGTATGTTGCCATTCAGGTGGTTGCGGTGGCTCTAGGAAGGCAAATGACGCCCTGGCCCCTCAGGACATTCAAAAGGCAATCTTTTACGCCCTGCTACCCAGCCTCCCGCTCGAGCATCTCGATCCGAACATTTTGCAGGAGGTCGCCCAACCAAAATCCTCGTCCGAACGCCCAATCTCCCTGTGGCCGCGCCGTGGACTAGTGCTTTGTCATAGTATCTTCGCGCCCCGCTAGCAGTCTGAGGGGCCCAGGAGGAACTACACCTCGATGGCCTAGTTGCGTTCTGGACCACGTTCTGGCCTTACCTCGACCTACGTGGCTGAGACTTGGCCCTCCTGGCCATCGACGGTGCACGTGGAGCACCAGTTTCGCAGGAGCTTTGCGAGGGCGATTCTGGGTGGCGAGATCAATTCGTCGTTCTCTTTTCGATCCTGCGTCCAAGCCGTATCCTGGCCCACGGACGCCTGTCGGGTTTTCAGCACTGCCGTTCTGAAGATCCGGTCAACCCTGGGCTGCTGGCTTGGTCATTTCTTCGACTGGTCTGCCTTCCGCGCACGATGGAACATTAATCTACTATCGGTCGGCTTGCAGGGGGGGGCCAACCGTTCTGGGGGAGGGCTCTGGGGGGGGTCTGGTATTGCCTGGGACCCCCCTGAAGCGACGCGGCACCCACAAGCCAACCCCGGCTCTGAACGCTGACCCTCGCGGAGGAACCCACAAACTCGGTCCTTTGACAATCTCTGTCCGTCTGTCTGTCCGTCTGCCTGCCATGAGGGCTCCAACTGCAGCTGCTGGTCGGGTTCCCCTCCGGCCGCATCCCCCTCCCCTGTCCCCATCCTCCCCCGTTCTGCCTGGCCGCCAAGCGTGGAGAGGGAAATAATGTTGTAATCTTCGGGTGCGGTGGCGTTCTCCCGCTGCCTGCCCGCTCAAGGCAGGCTCTGAGGCTTGACGTCCCCCCCGTGCGTTCGAGGCTTCGGCTGTCCCACCCAAGCCGTGTGCAGCCCCCCTCCAAACTCTTTACCTCTACTGCCAACGTCCCCCAAACCTCGGACTTCGAATCCGCCAGGCGTAACGTAGCCGCAGCTGGGCTTGCGTCATCTCCGCCCTCCCAAGCGGGCTGCACCGAGGGGCCTTTGCTTGGATGCCGTGTGCTGATTTGCCCAAACTGGCATTCCATGCGAACGACGCCACATAGATCAATGCGAGTACCGATCTATATATATATATAGAGAGAGAGAGCGAGAGAGAGAGAGAGATGGAGAGAGAGAGAGAGAGAAAGACAAAGAGAGAGAGAGAGAGAGATAGAGAGATATTGAGAGATAGAGGGAGATAACGATACATCCATACACATCTATATATATATATATATATAGATCTATGTAGAGAGATATCCGTAGGTGTAGATGCGCTCGCGATCACTTGCGGAATTCTGTTTCTCAACAAGTGCTTGCACTTAGGGGCTTCGGACTTGAATTGTAAAGAACTGGCCCTGACTGCCGCAGTTGACCGTACGCGCGTTCGTGCCTATTGTGCCCTACGCTCTGGCGCCCCATGTGTTGCGGCCAGCCGTGGGCGCGTCGGGGCCCTGTGTTCTGAAGAACTAGCCCTGTCTGTCGCAGTCGGCCGCACGCAAGCTAGTGCCCTGTGGCTGGTGCCATTTGGTTGGTGTTCGTCGGTGCCGTATGCTTGGTGCTCTACTGTGTTCTGCCCTATGGTGCCTGCCCCCCCATGCATTGCACCCTGTAGATCGCACCCCATACGTTTCCCCATCTGTATATATATATATATATACACACACACTCATCTGTAACTACCGTAGCACCCCGCAGTTGCGGATAAGAGTGAGGAGGCGGCGAGGATGTCGTCAGTCTGCGAGGCTCTGAAGAAGCTCGCCGCAGGCGCCTAACTTTTTTATTATACAAATTATGCATTGAGCTCGCCGCAAGCGCCGATTTCTTCGTTAAAACCATGTGGGTGGATCGCGGGATGGGTCGCGGGTGGGTCGCGGGCCGGGTCGCGAGTGGGTCGCGGGTGGGTCGCTGGTGGGTCGCGGGGTGGGTCGCGGGTGGGTCGCGGGGTGGGTCGCGGGTGGGTCGCGGGTGGGTCGCGGGGTGGGTCGCGGGTGGGTCGCGGGGTGGGTCACGGTGGGTCGCGGGTTGGGTCGCGGGTTGGGTCGCGGGGTGGGTCGCGGGCTGGGTCGCGGGTGGGTTGCGGGTGGGTCACGGGGCGGGTCACGGGGTGGGTCGTGGATGGGTCGCGGGCTGGGTCGCGGGGTGGGTCGCGGGCTGGGGTCGCGGAGTGGGTCGCGGGGTGGGGCGCGGGTGGGTCGCGGGGTGGGTCGCAGGGGGGACGACGACAACAAACAACAACAACGCAACAAGCAGAACCCTCACCACGGATCCCCAATCGAGCCACGCACCCAGGGACAATGAATGACCGTTCGGCCCCCTCACTCTGATATAGACGTTGCACACTATATTTTGTACCACGTATGGCATGCCACGCAGTAGGTTGCATTCCACGCATTGGGCCACATTTGTACGTTGCAACTGGTAGGTTGCAAAGAGTCGCTGTTCGGGTCCATGCGCGAGCATCAGTTGTACAGCAATGCGTGCACACAAGCGCGAATGCATGCTTGCCACGTCGGCGGTGAGCAAAGCGCATGTCTGATGCCAAGACCATCACTCGTCCTCGTTCCCAACTCCTTCTACGCTCTCCCACGCATCTTCCTGGAGGAGAGCGAGTTCCAAATACGCACATAACCAGAGGCACAAACCAACAAAAACTGCGGGCGACCGCCAGAGGTCGCCCCGCGTCTGCCCCTCCCGGCCTCGATGACGTCTGCGTTGAGCGGTCAGCCTGAAGGCTGCTTCTCAGCCTGCTTCTCCGCATCGTCCTCTTCCTCCTCCTCCTCCCCTCCTCCTCCTCGTCCTCCTCCTCCTCCTCCTCCTTCTCCTCCCTCTCCTCCTCCTCCCCCCTCCTCCTCCTCCTCCTCCTCCTTCTGCTGCTCGTTTCTATCCCTCCTCCTCCCGGTCCGCTTTGTTGCGCGCGATTCGATGTTCCAGCGAGTTAGGACGAGTGGCCGTCTGACGAACTGTATATCTTATCATTTGTCCTCCTCCTCCTCCATTTGCTCCTCCTCCTCCTCCTCCTCCTCCTCCTCCTCCTCCTCCTCCTCCTCCTCCTCCTAGCATTCCTCCGCACCACCTTCCCGCGACCAGAGTGGGGGCGCTGGCCCATCTCGAAGCGCAGCCTCTCCTCTCCCCGCCGTGTTGCCGAGCACACAGGCGTCAGCTGCTCACCCGGGCGAGGGAAAGAGCTAAACGTACGAGGAGGAGCTGACTGAGTGGAACATGCCGCGCGTAGTGTGAATCACGAAATGCCCATGCTCTGGAGACTCCCTGGGCATGCCCAGAACGCCCCCCCCCCCCCCCGCCGAGAGGAAAGGGCGTGGATGAATTCCTGTTGGCCCACGCGTCCGAGCCCGAGTGATGCCGCTCTGCCACGCGTGGACACAACCCCCTGCCAAAGAGCCTTCGCAGACAATGCGCACACCTCCGCCACCCTTCCAGCACGGGGTGGAACTCGTGCTTCGGAGACACCTCGAACCTGAGGGCGCACCCAGACTCTCTGCGGCAGGTTGGCTCCCTCGGCCCTCGGCACGCGGTTGAGCAAGCTCCCTCCAAGCCAGCCGAAGCCGAGAGACCCTGCGGCGGTCAAAGTGGCCCTGCTCGACGCGTCGTCGCCCTTACCACGGAGACGGACTCGCCACTCGATCAACGAGGGCGGGCTGGCGCAGGCACGTTCTGGCGCGCCCTGGTTTTTGGGGCGCAGCTGCACGCGTGGCCTTGCCAGGGAAAGGTGCCTCCACGCCCCCGTGTCCACGAGAACCCCCACGGCCGCGTCGTCGCCTGCGCGGGCCTGGCTGCCATCTCCTCAGCCACTCGCCCCTGCGCACAAGGAGCTCAACCACATGGGTCAGATGGTCGCGCTGAGGATCAAGGAACCCGTGGGTCCTCCGCGCCGCCCTCCTCCCATCATTCAAGGAGGTGGAAGAGGAAGAGGACAAGGAAGGGGAGGCTGAGGATGGAGATGACGCGCAGGAGGAAGACAATGTGAACATGGCTTGGGGGTGGACGCGGGATTCAGGAACGGAAAGCTAGAATGTTTGTAGTGCCACATGCCGTAATTTCCGCTTCAGCCATGTCAGTTGAAGAATGTCGGCCGCAGTGCAAGCATGCCAATTCTATTTATAGCTGTGATGCTTGTGTGAATAGTGGCCGTAAGAGAAATACTCTGATTGTGTCAGCAACCATTGGTGCTGAACCAATCATAATGGCAGCTGCGCCAGCACCCGTCGTGAAGCTGGTAGCCTATAGTGCGTACTGCTAGTGCAAATGAATGCCACACGCGTGTGAGCTGGATCTGTATTCGCAATACATACGTGGTAGAACACCTATAGAATACCAGCAAGGGTGGTAATAGCAGAACTAGACAGCTGTCTAGACAGCTGTCTGGAAGGTCGCGTATTGAAGACAACGCTGACAACACCTTCGGGCCTGTTAGTATGGCTGCGCAAATCTAATGAGCACAGGTCGCACGGGTAATCGTGATGCCGGCGGAAGCAACACACGTCACAGACGTGCTGGCAGCATTGCTATAACTACTAGGCGTTGCAACAATCTGGTAATGAACCAGTATCAGTATTTGCAGTCGTTGCAACAGTTGCATTCACACTCCGCACATACAAATCTGAATTCAGGTAGCTGGTGGTCGGTCGGGCGTATGATTAGTTGTTGCATGCGGAATGGCAGATGGTATGGACAGAAGGATGGGACTAAGGAGGGTGAGGACGAGGAGGCGGAACACGAGAATTACCAAGGTGAGCAATCGGAAACGGCATCGGCGGCGCGACATCCTGCGCCAAGTCGCTGGAGACGAGCGCCTGCCCCAGGCTCAACCACGCCAAGGCGCCGAACGACAAGGCCCTCGCCCAACTGGGTGGGGCCTTAGGAGCCGTCCGGGCCGTCTCTGCATGGGCAGTATGGGTGGTGGAGGGAGGTTCTCTTGGACGGATCTCAATGCTTGATTGACTGAACGAGAAGGTGAGTTAACGAATGATGAATAAAACAATCGACTGCTTCAAATGCCCTTGTCCGTTAGATGAGACTTGCTAGGACGCGACTTGGGTCACGGCATTTGCCTTGATTACTGTCAGCATGTCTTCCCTAACATCCTGCAAGCCACCTCTTTCTAGCATTGAATAGCGTGCGTTGCCCCCTGGTACTGCTCAGCGCTCTTGGCGGTCGTAGAACTTGCGAATCTGCCCCCGAAACACATGCACATAGTTCCAAGGGGATCCCGAAGCGTTGCTAAGACGGCCGCAAATACTTCCCCACACGCGGCCACCCTCCCCCCCCACAAGTCGGAAGAATAATCGAATGCTTGCAAGAAAGCCTCAAAGCGGCCAAGAGACACGGCCCCCAAGAAGCCACACGAGGCCCTACAGATGCTGTCCAAGAGGTCTCCACATGCTTACGATTGTTCCCACCTGCTTCCCCTTGCTGGCTCTATTTCGGTTCCATGCGGCAGCATCATATTGAAATGAACAGCCCTAGTCTGGCAGGCTCCAATTGGCTTCGTCTAGCCGCAAATATCTTGAGATCCCCGTTGGCTCGCCACTCCCCCAACTAGCTCAAACGAGCGCCGCTTCCTTTGAGCATGGACCGACCGTCCCGGCATTCCTATAGGCCTACCACGAAGTGTCCTTAGAACCCAGAAATGCTCTAATAACAAAAGCAGTGTTCTTAGAACATAAAGCCGATGTGTTGAAACAAGACAGTCCCAGTCAGTAATGTTCTAAGAACATTTCGTGCAAACCACAAAAGGTTCTTAGAACATTCTTTGGTAGGCCTATATGCGAGCCAGGACGCTTCGCCACTGCTTGATTCCTATGGCTTCCTCGTGTCTCCTGAATCATGAGGTTGCGTCGTTCTTTTTGCTTTTCGAGGGCAACCGGCTGGGCATCATACCAAGTTGTTATATGACGAACCGCGTCTGGTCCCCAGCCGCTATCCTGCTGCTCTCCCTAGCCATTCATCTTGCTTCTGGACGCTCATGTGGGAGTTCAAAGGGTTTTGGTTCTCCTCCTTCGCTCTCCACTGCGCCTCTCCTAGAGTAGCTTAAAAAGGCATCAACATACACTTTTGGAAATGCCGACCAAAGAAATCAGCGCGGACCTCCCAAAGTTCATGGCGATGCCGTTTTTACCTGTATTCTTCGATCTCCCCCAATTGGGAAGGCCTCGACGTACCCCCGGGACGACGTACTCCCAGTGAGGTATCGCAGCAGCCACGGCTCCAGCCACGGTGTGCGCCAGCACCGGATCTCTGGGGTGTCCTGGGGTGGACCCCGGGGGAGCCTCCTCTCCAGGGTGCGTCCGTTCTGGGGTACATTCGGCCTCTCTCGAACCCCCCTCTGCCCTAGTCTCCCGCTCCCTCCCCCTCATGACGCTCAGTGTTAACACAAAGCTAACGAGCCTAGTTCAGTGGTGAGGCGGAAGCTTCTGCCCAGCGCTCGGCTGGTGAACGGATCCTTCCCCTCTCTGAGCAGCCTCAAAGGCTTCTCTCGGTCTTGATCTCCCCCGTCTCCCGCTCCCTCCGCCCCACGCGCTCGCGCATGAGCGCGAGCGCACGGGGGCAGGGGGGAAGAGGAGGAGGAGGAGGAGGAGGGAGGAAGGAGGAATAGGGAGGAGGAGGGAGAAGGAAGGAGCATGAGGGAGAATGATGGTGATGCTGGTGCTGCTTATGATGATGCTGATGATGCTGCTGATGATGCTGCTGATGATGCTGATGCCAACGATGCTGATGAGGAGAAATATGATGATGAGGAGGATGAGGAGGATGAGGAGGAGGAGGAGGATGAGGATGATGATGTAGATGATGATGATGCTGATGCTGATGATGATGATGAGGATGATGATGATGATGATGCTGATCAGGATGATGATGATGATGATGATGATGATGCTGATGATGATAATGATGATGAGGATGAGGATGATAATGATGATGATGATGCTGATGATGATGATAAGGATGATGATGATGATGCTGCTGCTGCTGCTGATGATGATGATGATGATGATGATGTTGTTGACGATGATGATGAGCAGGAGGAGGAGGAGGAGGAGGAGGAGGAGGAGGAGGAGGAGGAGGAGGAGGAGGCGGAGGCGGAGGCGGAGGAGGCGGAGGGGGGGAGGACGAGGATGACGATGGGGAGGGAGGGAGGCGGAGGCGGAGGCGGAGGAGGCGGAGGGGGGAGGACGAGGATGACGATGGGGAGGAGGAGGATGGAGGACGCGCAGGCGCAGGAGGACAGCCCCCCCCCCCTCCCCCGAGATCCGATGCCGCGAACCATACAACATGGTGCAGTCTTGTGAGGGGAGGCCCAGACCCCAACTGTAAGTCGGGCGTGTCTCCCTACAGGAGGATTTTGGGCGAAACATGTAACATACTTTTTTATTATAAGCAAAAAGCCCGACTGTGCAAACAAAAAATCATCCCCAGACTATTTTTCTTATTTTTGAATGTACCCCCTGTAGAGGGACAAGCGCGACTTACACCCAACCTTGCGCGGCACCTCTCGGGCCGGGTCGACACGCCGTGGCCAAGGGGCGCGAAGCCCAGGCTCCAACGCCTGGGCGTGAAACTGCTGCGGCGCCCCGGACCTCAGAGCCCCCCCCTCTCCAGAACTCCGCCGTCGTGATCTTTGGAGGCCCCCCCGGAAACCGAAGAGGGCCCCAGAGCTCCCGTCGCACGCGGGAGGAGGTCCTCCCTCTGATCATCACTAGTGGACTCTGCGCGACAAGCTAGCTGGGAGACAGCCGGGACAGGACAAGGAGGAGGAGGAGGAGGAGGAGGAGGAGGAGGAGGAGGAGGAGGAGGAGGAGGAGGGCGGAGGAGGCGGAGGAGCAGGAGGAGGAGGAGAAGAGGAGGAGAGGAGGAGGGGAGGAGGAGGAGGAGGAGGAGGAGGAGAGGAGGAGGAGGAGGAGGAGGAGGAGGAGGACGCCTCTGCCCCTGACGCTCCCAGGATCCGTCTCGCATTTCGGTCGCTGCCTTCTTCTCCCGTTCTTGGCCTCCTCCCCCTCTCCACCTGGCGCCTGTGAGGAGGACGATCATCGAGGACGCCAGCTAGCAGCAGCAGCAGCAGCAGCAGCAGCAGCAGCAGCAGCAGCAGCAGCAGCAGCAGCAGCAGCAGCAGCAGCAGCAGCAGCAGCAGCAGCAGCAGCAGCAGCAGCAGCATAATCGCCTGCAGCTCTTATCTCGAAGGCGGAGCAGGACGAGGAGGCGGAGGCGGAAGGGGGACTCCGCCGCTCGGTCGTCCCCCTTTTTCCTTACCTTTGGTTCTATCACCCTTCCCCCTGCGAAGGCCTGTGGGAGGGTCAACGAAGGCGCCATCCAGGTCGGGAGAACCGTCCGCAGCCTTAGCCTCAGAGGCGAAGGCGAAGGGGAGGAGGAGGCGGAGGAGGGCAGCCCCCTCTTCCACTTCCTCCTCCACCTCCTCCTTCTCCTCCTCCTCTTCCTCCTTGTCTTCCTCCCCCCGCCTCCTTACTCCTCCTCCTCCTCCTTCTCCTCCTCCGCCCCTGCCTCCTCCTCCTCCTCCTCCTCCTCCTCCTCCTCCTCCTCCTCCTCCTCCTCCCTCCGCCCCTCTCCTAAACAAACGCCGCCCGAGGCCGCGTCCAGCGCCGGCCCGCCGGCGCCCGCGAACCACGCGGCCGGGGGCGCGCCGGGCGCCGCGGCGCCTGGCGCGGGGGTCGCCCGCGCGGCGCTGCCGGCAAGAGATCAGTCGGCAGCGACGCGGGAAATCGGATCAAATCGAGGAGGAGGAGGAGAAGGAGGGGGAGGAGGAGGAGGAGGAGGAGGAGGAGTAGGAGGAAGAGGAGGAGGACTCCAGGAGGGGAATGGGGGGCGAAAGGGTAGGGCAGCCAGGGTAGAGGGCAGAACATCCCCCCCGAAGAGAAATCACCCCGGCAAGCGAAGCCGTGTAGCCAGCGCACCCAGGGAAGGAATCAAACAGGACAGGGCTGTTGAGTAAACGCCGAGGGCTATCTAGTTCACGTCAATTCTCCGGTCCGGGTGGTGTCTACTCCCCCCAAAACAATTCGGGTAGAGAGTCAGCTCACGTAGCTGGTTTTCCTGGCGCCGGGAGGCGCCCGAGTATCGAGGGAAGGTGCCCAGCGGCGGGGCGGAAACCAGCTGCATGCAGCAAATCCCACCAGCCCTTTGGGCGTGAGTGGTTTAGAGAGCCCGCTCTGTTCTCAACCCCCTTCTTCCCCTTCGGGGAGGGGTTTACCCCTCCCCCTACCCCCTCCCCCTGGGCCTGGAGAGGTCCTTTCGCGGGTGGTTGGAGGGGTCTTTTTCGACTCCTGGGAGGGCTAAAAAACGACACCCCTCACGAGGATTCTGGGCCCGACGGGGGGGGGGAGAACAAACAAAATCCTCTTCTTTGAAGCCAGAATCATTGATTTTACTACGGTTTTGGCCCCATTTTGGCCTTCTGAGGGGGCAGTGCTAATTAAAGCTCCCCTCTTCTTTCAAGCCAGAATCATTGATTTTACTGAGGTTTTGGCCCCATTTTGGCCTTCTGAGGGGGCAGCGCTAATTAAAGCTCCCCTCTTCTTTGATCGATTTCCTCCAAGATGGCCCCAAGAAGCGCCCAGGAGGCACCAAGAGGCCCCAAGATGGCCCCAAGAGGCCCCCAGGAGGCCCCCAAGAGGATCCCAAACGGCCCAAAGAGGCCCCCCCGAGGCACCCAAGACGCCGAAAAGCCCATCAGGACGACCCTCTACTCGCCTGGGCGTCGTTTCTGGACGGGCAGGAGGAGGGGCCCGAACGACTCACACCAGGACGAGGGGCCCGAACAACTCACACCACGAGAAGCCCGAACGACTCACACCAGGACGAAGAGCCCGAACGACTCACACCACGAAGAGCCCGAACGACTCACACCAGGAAGAAGGGCCCGAACGACTCACACCAGGACGAGAAGCCCGAACGACTCAAACCACGAGGAGCGCTTTCTCTCCCTCCTCCTCCGCCTCGTCCTTCTCCCGCTCCCACCACAAGGAGGATGTACAAGGAGGCGGGAGGAAGGAGGAACAGGGGAGATATGCGGGGGCAAGCGGACACACGCATGAAAAACACGACTGTCGGCATGCTTCGCAAGAGTTGCTGTTGTGAGATGGGCTGGTGGGGATACGCGAAGCGTAAAGAATTTCGTACCCCCCCCTGTCCCTATCCTACCCTTCCGTGCGGCCCGTTACCTTCACTGCCCGGAGGGCTTGGGCCGAGAGGGTCGGCAACCGTCCGAGGACCCACCGCGTGGCCGATGCCCGCCCGACCCGCATCCCCCCCCGCCTGGGAAGAGGAGGATGGAGGAGGAGGAGGAGTCGGAGGAGGAGGAGGTGGAGGAGGAGGAGGAGGTGGAGGAGGTGGGGGAGGAGGAGGAGAGAGAGGGAGGGAGGAGGAGGAGGGGAGGAGGAGGAGGAGGAGGAGGAGGAGGAGAGGAGGAGGAGGAGGAGGAGGAGGAGGAGGAGGAGGAGCCCGCGAGGCGCCGCCGGCGGGGAAGGAATGGGCTCTTCGCGCGAGAGGCCTGACCTCCGGCGACATGATGTTTTTCTACCATCCTGTGGTGTTGGGTCCCCGTTGTGAATCAGCAGCACCCCGCGTCCTCACTCCTTCCTCCTCTCCCTTCTCAGCTCCCCTACCGCCCCCTCCCTCCTCCCTCCTTCCTCCTTCCCCCTCCCTCCTTCCCCCTCCTTCCCCTCCCCCCCTCCTCCTCCCCTCCTTCCTCACCCTCCTTCCTCCCCCTCCCTCCTCCTCCTCCTCCTCCCCCTGCGGCCCAAGAACAGAAAAGCACGCTTCCTGGCCGTGCCCCCCTTGACGCGCAGCAGGCTGAGGGTGGACCCAGGCCCCCCCCCGGCGTCGTGTTTTTTTCCGCAGCGTCGACCCCCAAAAGTCTCGACCCCTTCCCCGGGACCGGATTTTCATCCCGAGCTGTTTTTTTGTTGGACGGTCCCGAGGCCCAGTCAAGGCCCCGGAGGCCGAACATAGCGAAGCACCTCCAGTCGTAATTTGCTCCCCTTCCCCGAGATCGGATTTTCATCCCGAGCGGTTTTTCTGTTGGACGCTCCCGAGGCTCAGCAAAGGCCCCCGGAGGCCGAACAATAGCGAAGCGCCTCCAGTCGTAGTGTTTGCTCCGCCGCGCGACGGGGTCCTTGGGAGGACGAGGCCAGCGGTGGCCCCGGAAGTGGGCAGTGGGGGGCGAAGACGAACCCCCCCCAAAGATGGGAAAATATCGGGAATCTTTTTATTTGCGTGTCCTGGGCCCCCGGAGGCCGAACAATAGCGAAGCGCCTCCAGTCGTAGTGTTTGTTCCACCGCGCGAAGGGGTCTGGGGAGGACGAGGCCAGCTGTGGCATCGGCGGCCTCCTCCGTCTCGTAGCGGATGTCAAGTCGGGCGTGCCCCCCTGCAGGGGGATTTGGGGCGAAACATAACAAATACTCAAACAATGCTCCACCAATGGGCAAACATGGTCAAACAATCGCCCCCGAACGTTTATTATCATTATTATTATTGTTCTTCTTATTAGTATTCTTTATTATTCTTACTTTTCTCATTCATATTATTATTAGTATTATTAATACTATTAGTATTATTATTATTACTATTATTATTATTGTTGAGGTTGTTGTTGTTGTTGTTGTTGTTGTTGTTGTTGTTGTTGTTGTTGTTGTCGTTGTTGTTGTTCTCGTTTTTTTTTTTTTTTTTTTGTTGTTGTTGTTGTTGTTGTTGTTGTTGTTGTTGTTGTTGTTGTTGTTGTTGTTGTTGTTGTTGTTGTTGTTATATATATATATATGAAAAATAGTAGCACAGATACTCTTCTTGAAGTGTCCTCCTGTAGAGGGACAGGCCCGACTTAAAGCTGATGGGTCCGGCGGGCAGCGACGCTGCCGAGGCCCGCGCCCCACGGCCTCTCGCCGTTGACGGGGGGGGCGCACAACACAAAACAAACAGCCGCGGCCCTCGCCGCGGGCTGGGCGCCCAGGTGCCAAGGAGGCGGGGAGGAGAGGCTGGCAGGGGCCAGACCCCCTCGCGGGGTGACGGCATCACCGCGGGGTTTTGGTCTCGCTATCTGTCTTCGGCCTCCGGGGGCCCTTCCCGGGCCCCTCGGGGCCGTCAGCGAGAACGACTCGGGGGGGAGAGCGGGTCCCGAGGAAGGGGTCGAGACCTCTGGGGGTCGACGCTGCGAACAAAAACACGACGTCGGGGGTCTGGGGAAGGAGGGGGGAGGAGGATGAGGAGGAGGAGGAGGAGGAGGAGGAGGAGGAGGAGGAGGAGGAGGAGGAGGAGGAGGAGGGAGGAGGAGGAGAGGAGGAGGAGGACCACTGGTGTTAACCCACGACGTCGGGGGTCTGGGGAACGAGGCCGCCTTCGGCTTCGGCCCGTCTCGGCTCCGCCCCATCTCGGCTCCATCGGCCTCTTTCGGCCCTCGGCCCCTCTCGGCTTCGGCCCCTGTCGGCTTCCGTCCGCTCCGGCTCTGGCCCGCCTCGGCCCCGGCCCGAGCCGTCACGCGCCGAGGCCGAACAACGCGCCGAGGAGGAACAACCGCGCCGAGGCCGCAAGGGGCCGAGGCCGAACGAGACCGACGGAGCCGCAACGGGCCGCTGGAGCCGCAACGGGGCCCTCCTCCGGTGGGGAGGAGCGGGCGCCGAGGCCGAGGCGGAGAGGGCCGCGAGGCTCTCCGCCGGAGCCGCCCGCCGCGGCGCCGTGCCCGGGCGCCCGCGGCCACCTCTGCGGCGCGGCCGGGCCGCGGCACGCGGCCCCTGCGACGCGGCCGCGGCGGGGGGGCCCGCGGCGGGGCACGGCAGAGGCGGCCGTGTGCGGAGCTGTGCGGGGGCGGGCGGGCAGCGTTGGGCTGGTCCCTGCGGTGAGGGCAGTGGACGAGGGGCCGTTGGATTCAAGTCGGGCCTGTCCTCCTACAGAAGGATTTTGTACGAAACATGTCAAATGGTCAAAACATACCCCAAACTGGCCAGACAATGTTAAACAAATCGTTCCCAGACCACTTTTTGACTATTGTTGAATATTCCTCCTGTAGAGGGACAGGCCCGACGTAACATTGGATGGGTCTGGAAGCCGGTGGAACTCCAACCGAGGATTGGCCGTGGGTGTCGCCGCCGCCCTCAAGCTTGGCCCCGGAAGTCACCGCCGCCCTCATCAGATCAGGAATTATCCAGGATCTCAAGCCTCCTGGGCACATTCCTTGACCACTGCCCCGACCATGTCCCCGCTGGCATGGCCTCGGGCCCACTGGTGAACTCTCCCCTTCAGGTGGGGATATGTTGGCGGCGCGCAGAAAGGGGGTGGAGGGAGGGGGGAAGGCTTCTTAGAAGGGGGCTGCTTCTTAGAAGGCGGCGGCCTTACATCTATACATAAGGCCCGCGCCTTCTAAGAAGCAGGGGTGCTTCTAAGAAGCCTCCCCCCTCACCCTACCCCCCTTCTGCGCGTGGCCGAATCTGCCCCCCTGGGCTTCGTTGGACCTATCCGCGTCTGGGAGGGTGGGTTGGTGGGACCGAGGTGCCATGGCCCAGTGGGCATGGGGGTAGGTTAGACGATGCTGAGCTCAAACAGAAAACGAGAAGCGCATCTCCTCCTCGTTCGTCGGCCTCCTCCTCCATCGAAGTCCTGCTCATGCAGGCAGAGGCTCACCGCGCGAGCTCCTGCTGCACCTCCTCGAGGATGCTGGCCAGCCTCTGGGCGAGCATGATGTTCCCCTGGATCTTGAGCTTCCCGCTCATGAACGCCTGCATGCCGTCGAGCTTCCCGCTGGCCAGCGCCAACATCTCCGCCACGGCCAGCGTGATCGTGACGTCAGGCTTCTCGTGCTGAGCGAAATCGGCCGAACCCTCGCCGTTCTTCAGGTCCAGGTAGAACTTGCTGCCGCTAGTCGGCGGCGAGCGAGGGGGGGAAATGAGAAGGAGAAGGCTTTCTCAGAGGGCGGCGGGACTTCTCAGAAGCCCAGACGTTCTTGTTCTGTCTTCGGGGAAGGCTCAGAGCACTTCTCAGAAGGCCGGGGGGGTTCCGAACCTTCTGAGCAGGCCTTCTCCTTCTCACTGCCCCCCCTCGCTCGCCGCCGAGCTGGGGCCGGCGTCGCTCACGACGAACTGAAAGACGACGCCGCCCAGCTTGACCAGCTCTGCGCCTTTCGACCGGACGGCCTCCGAGATCTTGTCGAAGATTGCCGTCGCCCTCGCCATGGAGAGACTGGACTGGCAGCCGCAGCGCTGTTGGGGGGGGCCTTGCGCCCACTCCAGGGCCTTAAGCCAAAATGGCTACTACGGACTCCTTCGTCTCCTCCTCCTCCTCCTCCTCCTCCTTCCTCCTCCCTCTCTTCTCCTCCATCGCCTTCTCCTCCTCCTCCTCCTTTCTCCTCCTCCTCCTCCTCCTCCTCCTCCTCCCCTTTCTCCTCCTCCTCCTCCTTTCTCCTCCTCCTCCTTCTCCCCTTTCTCCTGATCCTCCTCCTCTTCCTCCTCCTCCTCCTCCTCCTCCTTCTGCTCCTCCGTACTATATCCTCCACCTCCTCTTCCTCCTCCCTCGGCTTCTTCTCCTCCTCCTCCTCCTCATCATCATCATCCCTCTCCTTCTGCTCCTCTTCCTCCTCCTTCTTCTGCATCGTTTCCCCTCATACATGACATCACTCCTCCCTGTCGCACCCCAGACGCGGCGGTAGGGCGGGCTTGGCGTTACGCCTGGGACTGTCCGACCACTTGTAATCGTGAAGTTTCAGAATTGTAGTCGTTCCACTGGTGGCGGGCGGTTCGTTTTCAATCTGTGGCTCTCGCCGGAGCGCCGCGAGCACTCGCTTTTTATTTGTTTGTTTGTTCTTTGTTTTTTCATCCAGCAGCTTCACGGATGGAGGGCGTGTCGTTTTCACTGTGGCTCTCGCCCTATCACTGCGCACATTCGTCTTAAACATTTACAGCAATTTCACGGGTGAAGGGCAATTCCTTTCTAAATTGCGGCTCTCGCTTTCGCGCCGCGCACATTCATCTTCAACATTTGCAGCAGTGTCAAGGGTTCGTATGGTCGAAGTTCCAGGAATAGTGTTTTGGCGCGATTTCGGATTGTCAGAACGCAACATCAACGGCGACTCGCGACGTTCAAGTCCACATAATGGTGTTCTGGCACGATGTCGGATTGTCAGAACGCATCAGCCGCGTTGATCCGCGGCGTCGAACTCTCAGAACGTTTGTTTGGCACGATGGAGGCTGCTGAGACGGTTGTCTTCGAATCGGCCACTTACCGCAATTGAGATTAGTTCTTGTTGGGATCCACGAAGAAGGGAACTTGGAGCGAGACTTCATTGCAACATCGTTGATGCGCCTTGGGTTTGCACTAGTCCTCCACTTCTTCCTCCTCCTCCCCGTCCTCAGGGGCCGTTGTGTTACAGCGCCTTTCTTGGGTGGATGTGTGTGTGTGTGTGCGTGTGTCTGTGTGTGGGGGGGACACGGGGTGGCTGCAAGGGGGGGAAGAGGATGGCGACGAGGTGCAAGGAGCACCACCACCAGCAGCAAGAGGAGAAACAACAACAGCAGGCAGCGGTCACAGCAGTAACAACTTTAAGCTGGCATCTCATCCAACACAGTTGCCTTGTGACGCTGGGGAGATGTGCTGAACCTGATATTCATGCCATCACACTTGTCACCTCGAGCAAGCCTGTCGGCCGTGATGTGACCGAAACACACGCGACGTAGATAACAAGGCATTGCGCACGTGAGTCTGATCTGAACATCTGTCACGGGGCCGAGGTCCGTGCGGGGCGGTGGCAGCCGCGTGGGACTACACCCTAAGGTCTGCGCAGGCCCAGTGATGGAAGGGAAGTGCCGCAGCATCGAACAAGCCAAAGCCGCAGGAGGAGGAGGAGTAGGAGGAGGGGGAGGAGGGGGAGGAGGAGGAGGAGGAGAAGGAGGAGGAGGAGGAGGGGGAGAAGGAGGAAGGGGAGGAGGAGGAGGAGGAGGGGGAGGAGGAGGGGAAATGCGAGGGAGAGAGCCGCAGCATCGAACACGCCAAAGGCAATTCTTAGCATCCCGAGCGCAGGTACAACATCCGCCAATAGCTTACTGGCGGACTGTAGCGCCCTCTTCCTCAGGTTGATGTCGATCCTGGAAGCTCGCCTGGCCCGAGAGATTCGGCACCCCTACCTGCACCCCCATTCGCTTAACGTTTGCGCCGAGACTCCTTTTGCCAGTGGGGATCTTCAACCCTCCCGAGCCGCAGACTGCAGCAGTGCGCGGGTGATCTGCAACCCAGGTGCGCCGGCAACAACGTCTGGCTCCAGGCGCACGGGCGAGGAAACTCATCGCGGTCACACTGAGTGTTTACCTGTCTCTCTCTCTCTCCCTCTCTCTCCTCACCCCGCCCCCCCCACCCTCTTACGATGGAGTGTTGCTGCGTACCCTCGCGCGCCGCTTGCGCAGAGCTTGCAGGTGGTGGCTGGCCGAGGCTCGGTAACATTTTCCGCGTACGCATGTGCAGATCTCCTGCCGACGCGCCGTCTGGGCGCGGCTCTTTGCTGCTGCTGCTGCTGATGATGATGATGATGATGATGATGATGATGATGATGATGATGATGATCACGACGATGATGATGATCACGACGATGATGACGATGATGATGATGATGATGATGATGATGATGATGATGATGATGATGATGATGATGAATATGATGATACAGATGAAGAAGAAGACGAACGTGAATATGATGATGCTGATGATGATGACGATGAGGATGATGATGATGATGATGATGCTGCTGCTGTTGTTGTTGTTGTTGTTGTCCAGGCGCAAAGGCGGCCACCATCGAATCGGAACCTCGGATCGGACCGGGGCGTGCCTCGGATCGGGCTGCACGGGCACGGAGTCGAAGTCGTAGCGGACTGGATGTGCCAGGACGCGCAGCACCGCCCTGCGAGCATCGTGCCGATTCGGGAAGGCCTCGGCGATGGGGTCCGAGTATAAAGGGGCCCAAGGACACACGAACAAATACACACAACACCGAGGATTCTCTATATTTTCTGGGTTTTCGTCTTCCCAGCACTTCCTATATTTTCCAACCTTTTCCTGGGGATCGACGATTAATTGTGTCTGTGTGTTCCCCCCCTCCTGAGTAGATACGGTCGGAGGATCGCGCCGCATCGCCGACGTATCGGCGATGCATCGCCGATGCATCGGCGATGCGCACCGGCCAAACCAGCGATGCATCGGCGCCGTCGGCGTGGAGCTCCACATCGAGCCGCATCGCCGATGCATCGGAGATGCGGCGCGATCCTCCGACCCCGTCTACTCGGACCCCATGTGGGTTAGGTCTGGCATGTCTCCCTACAGGCGTTTATATATGGTAAAAATCCAAAACAATCAAACACTGCTCGAACATACTGAACAACAAATAGGAAAATCGTCCCCAGACTATTTTTGGAATATTCATCCTGTAGAAGGACGTGCCCGACTTGACATTTGGGAGACCCAGAGTCTGGAGTCGTCGGAATACTTGTAAGTCGGGCGTGTCCCCTTACAGGGGTATTTTCGACGAAACACAAAAGATGCGAACACAATTTCCCTACTGACCAAAAAATACTCAAACATGGCCCCCAGACTATTTTTTGATTATTTCTGCATATTCCTCCTGTCGAGGGACGGGCCCGACTGAAGAATAGCTACCTGGCTCGGGTCGCATCGAGCCCGCCGGACCCGACATCGAATCGGATCGAGATCGGATCGACATTGGGCCCCGGCGGTGCGTGCGTTTGCCCTCCCGGGGCGAGCTCGCCACCCGTCGGGGCGAGAGAGGGCGAGGATTTCCTCGAAGGGGCCCTGGGGCACACAAATAAATACACACACAAACCAAAGGATTCCCCCACATTTTCCAACATATTCTGGGTTTCTGTCTCCCCCCCCCACTTCCCATAGTTTCCCATACTTCCCTGGGAATCGACGATTACTTGTGCCTGTGTGTGTTTTTTTCCCTCCTGATCCCCGCACGCGCGCGCGCGCCGCGCGCGCAGTGCTGCATTGGAGCACGCCTGTGGGCAGGAGCCGCGGTCAGGCTCGGGCGGAGCTGAGATGCACAGTCCACTCGAGTCAGCGCGTGTTCTGAGGATGCGAGGGCCCTGGAAGGCCACGTCGACGCCTTTCGAGCGGGGCGCGGCCAACGAACGTGGCCCAAGATCGGCCGAAATGGAAAGGTGCAACCGCAATCTGCTAAAATTGCTCATCCTGACTACCCGTGCTGACTTTAGGACCGCATGTCGAAAGGTCTGGCCCGACTCCTGAAGAGCGGCGTCCTCGCACGGTCGCTGGCTCCACGGAGTTGTCGGAGTTCCAGGTGGAACATCAGGGCCTCGTAAACCCAAACACGCTAGACCCGGACACACAACGTCTCTCGAAACCGGCGGCACGAACAACATACTGCACTGCAACATTCCCATCATAAGCCCGGACGCAGGCCCTAAAAGCCTGCAAGACCCCCCTAACCCTGGACACGAACCCGAATCCTGCAGTGCAGCAAATATCAAATGCACGGGTACTGAAACATGCGACTCTGCAGGAACGGGTGCCGTTCCCTTGGCTTTCCGTGCCCTGGTGTACCTCTGTATCCTGGCTTTGGGCCGGGCGGGAGATCAGCCGATGTTCAGCGATGGCGGATCTCCCGCCCAGCCCACACCCGCTCAGAGACTTTGCTTGACCAAAAAGGGGGTCCAGCTGAAAGGGGGTGGTGCAATAGGTTTTGGGAAATTGTATTGCAAATGTATTGCGCCAGAGAACTGTGTTGAATTGTATTGCAACTAATGCATTGCACACGAGACCCCAGCAATACATTTGCGCACTGGAGTGTGTTGCACGCCCCAACTCCATTGCAATCCCAAAAACCTATTGCACCAGATCTATTACACCACCTCCTTATCGCTGGACCCCCTCTTTTGGGTCAGCCAGAGAGACGGCCCCTCTGGACCCCTCCTGAAGAGCGGCGTCCTCGCGCGATCGCTGGCTCCACGGAGTTGTCGGAGTTCCAGGTGGAACATCAGGGCCCCGTAAACCCAGACACGCTAGACCCGGACACCCAACGTCCCTCGAAACCAATGTTGCCAGACGGCGGCACGAACAACATACTGCACTGCAGCATTCACAGAATAGACCCGGACGCATGCCCTAAAAGCCTGCAAGACCCCCTAAACCTGACCCGAATCCTGCAATGCAGCAAATATCAAATGCACGGGTACTGAAACATGCGACTCTGCAGGAACGGGTGCCGTTCCCTTGGCTTTCCGTGCCCTGGTGTACCTCTGTATCC